GCACAGTGCACAGGCAGAGGGAGGGTTGGTGAGTGCAGAGGTGGGGGCCAGGGTCTAGTAGATCTCAGTGCCTGCTGGTGGGAGTGGAGTGGGAGGGGAGAGAGCTAGTTGGTGACGCGAGGCCCTCACGTGACCTGGAGCTGCAGAGCGACGCAGCCTTCCGGTGCTTTCCTCAGTCCCTTCTGGCTACTGGCTCCCTGCTGTCCTGCAGCTGGCGGGCTGGCATTGGGCTGGAGGAAAGCAGGACAGGTAATGGCTCCCGGGCCTGTGCGCGAGGCCAGGGCGGCGTCGGTCCGCCTATTCTCACAGCTGGCACAGGGGATCAGCGGAACGGGTCGCCAGTAGCTTTCTCCAGACCTGGCATTCTTGGGAACATCAGTAGTGGGCCCCTGGGGTAAGGGGGCTGGCGCGTTAGGGAGGGCAGCAGAGCAACTAAGAGCGATTGGGAAACACCCCGGAGTTCCTACAGGAAAATGGTGGACCTCCGGGGCGGGGTGCGGGGAAGCTACGGGTGAAGGTGGGAGATACGGATGGGGGCGGCTAGGAGGCCCCGGACCTGGAAGGGACCAGGTGCTGGCGGGTCGGCGCCAAGCGCTTCGCAACAGTTCCCTGTTCCCTCCACCGTGGTCCTCTGCAGGTCTGCGCGTGTAGTTGTCAAGTGTCGCGGCGGCGCACTCACGGCGAGAATTGGGAGAAGGAGGAGACAGCAAGGATAGGCCCAGGTCGGTGCTGGGGTCAGTGTTGGGGGAGGGTGCAGAGCCCAGTTTGAGACCCCCTTCCAACTACCCTATCCCATGTCCCCCGTCCTCCATTTTGGCGACTGCAGAAGTCTGGGGATGGATCTGTAGGAAAATGGTGGGTTTGGGGGGAGGTAGGACAGAGAAGTGGGGTGGGAATCCGGACTTGGAGGCCCCCTAGAGGACGCACAAAGCTTTTCAGGTAGGAAAATGAAAATTTAAAAACCGCTGATATCCTGGGCTCTGAAAGATGAGTTGTAAGGCCTCTGTCCTCGGTGCTGACACGTCCACTCAAAACTCAACCCCTTCTTTTGTCTTTTGTCTCCTAGGAGCAATGGCGTCCAAAGAGGAACAAGCAGTAAAAAATCTCAACATGGAAAATACCGACCAGGAAAATGAAAAAAAGGATGAAAAGGAGGAAATTGCTAATAAAGGAGAGCCCTTGGCCCTCCCTTTGGACACTGGTGAATATTGTATGCCTAGAGTAAATCGTAGGTGGTTCTGTGTTAGGCAGCCCAACCAGCAGTATAGATGGGACATGATTCAGAGGCTTGGAGAGCCACAGGGAAGGATGAGAGAAGAGAATATGAAAAGGATTGGGGAGGAGATGAGACAACTCATGCAAAAGCTGAAGGAAAAGCAATTCAGTCATAGTTTGCGGGCAGTTAGCATTGACCCCCCTCACCATGATCATCGTGATGAGTTTTGCCTTATGCCTTGAATCCTGATGTTTTCCCTGAAGTTAACAGGGAGACATCTACTTTCTAAAGTTAAATGTTCATGATATACGTTTGTTGTAAACCTTTTGATGTCACTCATTTCTGGTGTGTCTATTACTACTTTGAGTTGAATGTTGTGTTTTTGATCCAATCTGTAAGATTCTGTTAGCAGGACAGCTTTGCCTATTGCCTGGAAAGATGGTCATTATTATTACAATATATATTATAAAACCAATAAAGCAGTCTAAAGAAAGCAACCTCTGTATTTTTACTTCAAATCTTGCATTTATGTATTTAGTACATGAAAAGAAAAATGCTGAAATTGAATACACCAAAGGATTAATACAGGGATTCATTTCTGTGAAATAAGTTGATTTTTTTTTCATATTTTATGCAGTTTTAGAAGAAATGGAAACTATTTTTAATGATCTTGTGAAAGTAGAAGTGTCATTCAATGAATGAAATTTGATATTTTAGCCAGATGAGTAAACCCAGGAATTCTTTATAAAATTGGGGGCTGTGTTTGTTTCACATGACTGTGAAACAAGATCAGGTGTGTGTGAGCTATGATTACCCATTTTTCCCTCATCCTCACCTATTAGGCAGGACCTACTATCCTCAGATTTTTCCATTCATGTATTTAGCGGAGTTTCTAAAAATAGGTCTTACCAGTCCAGCACCCCTCCTCTTCTGGTCAAACTGAATTCTGCCTGGCAAGAAGTAGGCCCTTAACAGAATACAATTAATAATGAGCTCTCAGTTTTTACTGAGCTTTTTCAAATCAATAGACTATATTCTAATCAATAGATAGTCTATCTGTATCTAGATAAATCTATATAGTTAGATCTATATATGTAGATCTAT